CCAACGTCATTCGTGAACATGAAATGGGTGATAACAGCGCCATCTCCCGTATTTTCTGTGGAAAGATGAAAAGCTTTGTTCAAAAACAAGGTGAGAAAGGAAGTGCTGTTGTCGAGCCATTCTTTAGTTTGCATTTGCCAATCAAGGATGACAACATTAAGGGCATTAAGTTCGCCTTAAGAGAAATGACCAAGGAAGAGAACGTTTTGGATAAGAATGCCAAGTCCACAATTTATCAACTTCCAAAAGTTCTCATCTTGCACTTGAGAAGATTCGATTTCTCTACAACTGAAGGCATCCAAAAGATTTCCAAGCGTATTCGATTTGATTATGAGCTAATTATTGATGACAAGGTTGTTCCTAACATCAAGCAAATTGCTGGGAAATCATTCTTGAGATATAGACTCGCTAGTGTGATTTGCCATCACGGAAAGGAAGCATCAGGTGGTCACTACAGCACCTTTATTCAACATGGATGTGGTAAATGGATTCATATCGATGACACCAAGATAACTGTTGTAAGCTTGCAACATGTCTTGGATCAGCAAGCATATATTCTCACCTACGTCCAAGATGACAACCAGGAACATTATAATTTGTATGGTGAAGGCTCGTCATCATCTCCATTGTTCAGCATTGATCACAATGATTTCAAAGAAAAGAAGGAAAAGAGGGAGAAGAAGAAGGACGGAAACACCAAACAAGAGCAAAAGGCCGTCTCTCCATCCACACCAACTCAAACCACCACCACTACAGTTTAATTCCATTCACACACTTCTTCCAAATAATCATCCATCTAATACCGAATTTTTCTACTAAGAGATAATCACACATGCACACCTCCAACTTGCATCCTACCACATTCAACTAAATTTTGACCTAAATCATCATCCTTCAAAGGTCTGGCAAAAATCAATAAAACTCATTAAAAATCAAGAAATTTCATTCACATAGTTGATTTGATGAGTCTCTCCAAGCTTGATCACATGAGAAAAGCTCCAGTCTTATCTTTTCAGTGTTTCAACATACGTTACAATCAAGATACGTTACAATGGAGGGATATGAAAACTCTCTAATCTCTAATTTTATCTGAATTCGTTTTAAGGTTTTCCATCCTTTGTGATAACAATTCGTCACTATATTTAAAAACGAAGTGGGCTGAATATAAAGTTTAAACTCCAAAAGGCGATCAGTTGTTTTTCGCTTGGTGCAACAGCAGCTTAATAAAGCTCTAGAGTGTCAAAGGCTACGCGGTGCATGGGGCAAGCATCGGCTTTACGCCTTAATGAAATTTGTTGATGATCTTTCGATCGTTATTCATTGAGAGATATATTCACTGTAAATATAACTGAAAAAAATGTTGCACCATCGTCATCATGAAGACGATCATTCATCCGAAATGAACAATTTCATCACCACCGTAGAAAATAAAAACGGAAAGGATGAAAAACTTTGAACCAAGAGGATGAAAAGAGCATTAGAATAGAAAGCAAATCTTTTTGGCAATTCTAATGACACTGTATCCGATACATTGATACATCATCGGTCATCGATTCCAGTAATGATGATGATGAATAATGTGAGAGTAATCTTGATGGATTTTTCAAATGCTTGTTTGAATGATCATGGCGAACGTGTGGACAAAATTCGAAAATTGGAATTATTGAAAAGAAATTTTCATTGCAACAAGAAGGAAAGACGAAGTGGTTATTGAATCGAGAATTGAAATATGAACATTTCTTTCCAATCGAATTTATGAATGACAAGGCATTTGTTTTAAATCAAATCAAAAGAAGGCTTTTCGATTGGAGTATGCTTCAAAACAATTACAAGAAGATCGAGAGTTTGTGTTGCAAGTGGTTCAATTGAATGGTATTGAGTTACTCTATGCTAGCAACAATATTCTCAGTGATAAAGAAGTGGTATTGGCAGCTATTAAAAACAATGAAGATGCATTGATGTATGCTTCAGAAGAAGTTAGAAATGACAAGAAATTTGTGTTAGAAGCCATTAAATTGAATGACAAATGTTTACTATATTCTTTCCATGAACTGAAGAAAGATCTGGAGTTCATATTTGAAGCAATTAAGCAAAACAGGAAGGCACTACAATGGGTTTCATGGGATTTACACCGAGATAAAGAATTCATGTTGAAAGCCATCAAATTACTCTTTCCAGAATTCGATAATTTAATCTCCATTGATCATGCAAACAAAGAGATTATGATGAAAGTTGTTCAGGAAATTGGATTTTTGTTGAGATTTGCAAGTAATGAACTCAAGAATGATCGAGACATTGTTTTGAATGCTGTGAAAAGCGATGGTGTTTCTCTTCAATATGCTTCTCATAATTTGCAGAATGATAGAGAAGTAGCACAGCAAGCAGTCAAACAAAATGGTTCAGCCTTAGAATATGTTTCAACACAGTTAAAGGGAACAAAGGATATTGTATTGACTGCTGTGAATCAAAATGGATATGCACTTTATCATGCATCTGATGAGTTGAAAAATGATTGAGAAGTTGTATTGGCAGCTGTTAGACAAAATGGTGATGCTCTTGAATTTGCTGATGAAATGCTGAAAAGAGATCAGGAAATTGTATTTGAAGCAATCAATCAAAACAAGGAATCTTTTGAATTTGCTTCTGAGGAACTTTTGTGTGACAAAGAATTTTTATTGAAACTGATCAAGCTTGGATGTAGAGATGTTTTCAGATATGTTCTAACAGAAATTATTGAAGACAGAGAATTTGTATTAAGAGCCATCAAACTCAATGGTCCTTCTGTTTCTGGATCATGTTTTACCTCAGACAGGGAAATCATGTTGGAGGCAGTGAAGAGTAACGGATATGCATTATATTATGCGAGTGAAGAATTGCAACAAGATGCTGAATTGGTGATGGAAGCTCTCAAATGCAACGGATTTGTGTTGGAATATAGTGATGAATTGTTGCAGCAAACGATGGAACAATGTTATTTTGGTGCTTATTTAGGAATACCTTAAACGAATTCACAATTGTATTTTTACAAACAAAGTAATGATTTCCTTATTGTGTACTATTTGGTGTATAAAATGTAGAGATACCATTCTGTTTTTTGCGATCATTTCCAATACCAAACAATGTTGTTTCATAGTGCGAGGTGTTGGTTCATTTATATCATGTTCATACTTTGTACGAAAGCATTTATATTCTAATACATTGGTTGTCAATTTTGGTTGATGTGAGTCATCACTTCATTTAAGGGGTATTTCTTAATGATGAATTAGGTCCTCAATAATCACCAACATAAAAATGTTCCTTTCTTTCATGCAATAATTCATCACTATACTCTAACACAAATCCGTTGCATTTAAGAGCTTCCATCACCAATTCAGGATCTTTTCTCAATTCTGGACTCGCAAAAGTCAATGAAAAGCCATTATTCTTCACTGCTGCCAACATTATGATCCAACAGCAAGACCATTAAGTGTGACAACCTTAAACACAAATTCTCTATCTTCAATAAGTTCTTTTGCAACAAAATTGAAAACATTTCTACATTCCGCCTTAATTAAATCTAATATAAATTGCCTGTCATGAAAGAGTTCTTTAGAAGCAGCACCAAATGCAAAATAGTGTTGTTTGATGTGCAGCTGCACAAACAATTTCTTGATCTCTTTCAGAGTTTCTTGAGCATACAGAAGAGCAGAGCGTTTTGCTTAACAGCTCCCAAAACAACTTGTCAATCCGATTTCAAGGCCAAACCATTGTTCTTGATGGCTGCTAATGCAATTTCGTAGTCATTTTGTAACTCATGAGAAGCAAATTCAAGGGCAGTATCATAATTGCTAACGTTACTTAAAACAGTATCTCGATCATTCTTGAGCTCGTCGCTGACAAATTCTAACATTAACAACTTTTAACATGTACTTTTAATTGTGGTGCAGACTCGATGCATGAAGGAATTCCAACGACTTTCTATTTTGTTTGATTGCATGATGTCTCTCCTCAGTTCATAAGGTTTCAATAGAGGAGAGGTTGTACGTTGTTCCATGATGAAACATTTTTTCTTTGATTCTACCTTTGTATTGAATATGGGAATCCAAATATTTGGAATATAATAATTAATTTTAAATTAAACAACAATCACAACAATTTAACACCAAAAGAGATGTCTTTCATGGACATCAAAAGAACCACGTATGAGAAAAGAAACACTTGCGGTTTTGGAACTTGCACAGCGTTAGAAGTAACAACAAGAAGAAACTACAAGATGAAAATTTCATGTTAAACATCATCAAATTGCTCTATCCAGAATACGAGAGTTTTGTCTCTTTCGATTATTCCAACGAAGAAATTGTGATGAAACTGATTGGGTCAGATATTAACTCAGACAAAGAAATCATGTTGGAGGCAGTGAAGAGTAATGGATTTGTATTGAGGTATGCGAGTGATGCAATTTGCATTGAAACAAGATTCTGAATTGGTGATGGAAGTTCTCAAATGCAACGGATTCGTTTTGGAGTATAGTGATGAATTGTTGCAGCAAACGATGGAATCATAATGCTTATTTGGAAACATAAAATTATTGAGAGAGTGTGGAAAAAGCATTCTGTCAGGACCTCAAAAGATGTTGGTGACAAGAAACATCTTCCAAAAAGTTGATCTCTAAGTCTTTACGTCGTATTTGAATTAAATACTGCAAATTAACTCATAGTTTCAGCAAGAGTCAAGGTGTGAAGTTTTTATTTACAACTGTACAAATGGTTTGCATTGCAAAAATTGTAAAAGTGAATTTGCCATTGCCATGGAGGTTGGTTGACAAGACGAAAATGTCAAAGAACTTCTTGTTGGTTGTTTGGGCATGATGTTTGCCAATTTCTTCACCATAATGTCACGATCATCGGTGTTACTTCTTGCGTGAGATTTGAGGAATCACTTGCTTGTGTTTCAATTGATCTCGAAGTGATGCATTTTCCTGTAGTAGTCTTTGATTTTCCTGTTCTTTGAGCTTGAGAAGATGTAATAATTCTTCTTCTCTTGTCTTGAATTGAGTCGAGAGTTTTTGGATTTGAGCCTCGTAATTGGTCTTAGTTTGATTCAATAATTGTTGAACGGACTCAATGGCGAGTTTGAGAGAGACTATTTCTTCGGTTCTTCTTGCCACAATAGTTTCCAATTCATTCCTTAATTGATTCTCTCGATGAAGAGTGTGTGCATGTTCCTTCTTTAACAACTCAATCTTTGTTGCAAAGTCTGTCTCTTCTCACTGAGAATTTTCTGATATTTTTGTTCTTCAGATGTGTGCAAATTTTGCAATTGATCCTTGAGAGTGGCAATCACATTTTCAAATTCCAACTTTTTGTTCTCGAACGAAGTTCTTAATGGAGTAATGACCGTATTCTCGAGATTATCAAGTTCCTCTTTCTGTTTTTTGACTTTTCTTTCAAATTGTCATTTCTTGTTTTTAAATCTCCAATTATTACTTGTGACATGTGTTTTGTTTTGCTCAACTCATTTTCATAAGACTGTTTCATGGTATTCAATTCCTCTTGTAAAAGTGTCAATCTCTGAAGTGTCTCAGCATGTTCTAAAGTTAGCGATTGAACTCGTTTCTTCAAACGTTGATTCGATTTTTCAATGTCTTGCTTGATTTGAAAGATCCATTCATCATCAACTCATCGTCATCATTGTCACAATGGTCGTCGTGACCATCTTCATCATCATAAATCTGATGCAGTGACCATTCGAAATGGTTTTTGTCGTCGTGTCTCCAAGCAAGTGCCATCATCAGAAGAAACTGAGCTAAGAGTGGAGGAACTTCTCGGAGAGAGAGTTAAGGTATTGCTGTGTCGGGAACGAGCACTATTCGTTAAAACCACAGTGCTCGCTCTATCGTCTGAAATTCCATCCTCTTCAAACTCAATCATGGGTGAGAGAGTATTATTATTGTTGGTGGAACCATGATGGTCAGTGTTGTGATTGTTGGATGGAGATAATGAGGTGGTGTAATTATTCCTTTTTTGAGGTGTATGTGTATTGGTCGAGGACGAGGGCGAGTGGTCGAGATGACAAGTGGAAATTGAGGGAACAGGAGAAGACTTTTGAGGTGGTGATACTGGCCTATCCTGTTTGGTTGGTTCCGAACTATTTGGAACCACAGTATGGGAAGAAGAATTTATCTTCTTCTTCTCTGCTTTTTCTTTCCATTCATTGAGGAAGAAGTGCTAGCAGCAGTAGTGGGAGTAGTAGGAGTGGTCAATGAAACTTTGGCTGCTGAACCTGCAGCTTCCGAAGAGAAAGAACAGGACTCTCGTTGCTGCTCTCGTTGTTTCTCCTCCAAGGTTACGAGATGAATTTTCCGAGTTGTTGCTGTGGGAGTGGTGGTGGTTGAATAGAATTGAGGTTGATTTGAGTGAGTAGAACTACTACTACTACTTTTGGAAGAAGAGCCCAATAAATTCGTTGTTGTTGTGGTGGTGGTGTGGTGTTGCTTGTTATTCTTTGCATTGGATGGTGTTTTGGAACTCGATAAAGCAATGCCTGAAATAAGAGTTGAGCTCGAGGGAGGAGGAACAACCACACGAGAAGAAAGTGAGGAATTCAATAACAAGGAGGCTGGCAAGGAAATGGTTGGTGATGATGATTTCTTCTCCTCTTGATGATGATGATTCTTTTGGGAAGGCATCTGATGAGTTTGGGAACTGGGATTCTCTCGATGATGATGAGGATGATGAATTTAATTTTAAAATACAAAGAAGGAGATCTTTTTGGAGTTGTATCGTATGACAGAGAGCTTGAAGAAGAATACTTCTTATTGGATCAATAATAAGAGAACACCGAACGAAATGCAAGGAATGATTCGGTTGGATGCAAAGGAAGGAAGGACAAGTTTTTTTAAAGTTTGTCTCTGCTGAAGAGAATCCGGAGAGGGCAAGAAAATTTAAATTGTAACGGAATGTCACTTGTCTCACTGAAACTCATGTCATGTAACGTGTTTGTGAGGCGGGAGAGGACTTTCACTTTATTTGTGTAGAAGATCACATTTCATTGTGAATACATTATTCATTGTGCTCAGAGTTGAGGTGGCACATAACCCCTTGCTGATGAGTGAGGTGTATATGTTTGCATGAGCGGTTCAGTATCATAACCATGATGGAACGAAACATCGGCAACGTGTGATGGTAAGTTTAAACTGGTTCTACTTTGATTGGATGTTAGGAAAAGATTTTGATTGGGCGTGGTGTTGTTGTTGTTATTGGTGTAGTAATAATTATTATGGTAAGGTTGCGCTGTCGAAGTTTGTTGAGAATAAGGTGAAAAAGATGATTGACCAAATGGTTGTTGCTGAGGTTGTTGGGGTCGATAGGATAACACAGGTGGAGGCGATGAAAACATATTCGTTGGAAATTCATTCAATTGGTCACTCATGTTAAAGGTTCGACAAAAAGCACCAGATCCTCCTCTGAATTGAAATCCGTACGCACCTCCCATGTACATGCTTGGATCGACATTATTGTCAACTTGTTCATCGTTGAAGGGATGATAGGACAGTTCCTTAATGAATGTATATTCTTGAGTGTCGCAAATGTTATTGAACCAGAATGTGTAGGCCCATCCGAGAAAGAAGAGACAGAAAAATTGATACCAGAAAGGAGTGGCGATTTTTGGAACTCTCGAGTTGGGATTATGTGTGAGGAGGGAACTCTCAAAGTTTTCTTCAATTTCATGTCAATTTAAAAAATGATGGTATTTTGTATAATTCGATGTCGTAGAGTGTTCGTGTGTCAGAGAGTATTCATGTGAAATTAATAGAAAGTTGTGGATGAAATCACATTGGTAAACATCCATATCATCATTAAACAACAGTACATGATATTATCAATTTGTTAAATCATTTCAATAACTTGACATACCAGTACCCCAAAATTCTGAATAATCCATGTGTGTGTCACGATTTCTATTTGAAACATAGATGGCTACACGTTCTTCATCGAGAATCTTCTTGGATTCTTCATTGGTCACGAAAACCTTTTGATCCATATCTAATTTAATAAATGTTTTAGCTGTTTGTTTAATACTATTAATAATGTATAGGTAAGTTGATTGATGACAACACACGATAAGAGTCATGACTAAGAACATTCCAACCATACTTACGCAAACGGAGGCGAAAAATCTCGGTGAAATTCGAATGGCATTTGCTTAGAATCGGTGTGAGTTGTCACTCGTACAGATCTTGATTCAGTTTTGAGTCTTCCATTCGCATCTGTAGTGGTTTGAGTTCTACAATCATTGAACAAATGCAAATGATCAATTCGAAAGTGTAACCAATTTCACATGTCGAAAGATGAAATAATCTCCCACTTACCTCGTTTCATAGTGATAACATGAAACATGCAACTCAATAATAGGTGTATCTCTAATCGTTTTCTGTACAATTTCCTGAATCTTTTGATTCACATTAAAGTTCGTCAAATAACTATACGTCGGACTCATAAATACGGTTGGAATGTAGAAAATCAAACAGACCAACAAGATGGGATATATAAAGGCTCTCGGCATGATTTTTACAAACACATCTCCATCTGGATAAACAAAGAACTCACACACGATTTGAGAGAGAATAATGATCCAAATCACAATGCTCAATACCATGATGAAATAAACATTTCCGAGAGGATTGCAAATGTTTCGGAATGAAGGTCTCTTTCCAGCATAGGGCTGACTGTTCGCGCTTCCG